TGATTGGGAGATTTGGCCATAGAGTATAATGGGGGATCAATAAAATATCTATAACTTTGTTATCTGTTGAATGATTTCAATGAAACTGGCAGGGATGGTAGCCCCTGCTGAGAGCATGACACATGCCAAGTTTCAAGGTGATAGGTGCAGGAGTTTCTAGTAAACTGCATCTCAAGCTGCTGACAAGCAAAACTCATGTCACATATTTGTGTTAAGCCACAGTGGGGTGAAAACTGCAGGGATGGTAGCTCTTGCTGAGGCCACAAAGCCTGCCATGTTTTACGGAAATAGGTGCAGGGCTTTCTGGGAAACTGCACCTCAAATTGCTGACAAGCAAAACTCATAACATAGGTGACAGTGTATGTTTGTTAAGGCACAGGGGGAGTGAAAACTGCAGGGATGGTAGCCCCTGGTGAGGCCACAAAGACTGCCAAGTTTCAAGAAGATAGGTGCAGGGGTTTGGGGGAATCTGTACCTCAAGCTGCAGACAAGCAAAACTCGTGACATGGGTGACACTGTGTGTGTTAAGGCGCAGCAGGGTGAAAGCTGCAGGCCTCCTAGCCCCTGCTGAGGCCATGAAGCCTGCCAGCTGTCAAGGAGATAGGTTCCGGGACTTCTGGGTTCTGGGGCCCTGCACCTCTAGCTTCTAGCTGCTGACAGGCAAAACTTGTGTCATGGGTGCTTGTGCAACTGTTTTTGTCTTGGGGTTATCCTCGCTAGCTACTGTGTATTGAGTTAGTCCCTGAGTGAATCATGATTGATTGGTAACACAGTAGCTAGCAAGGATAACGAGTTAATGAGAAAGGATTAACACCTATGAAACCACAGACTAAGGAGACGAAAGATAGAGAGAAGGCAGGTGTTCAATCTTCATTTTACTGTTCTAGGTGCTTTATCCTCACTTTATTGTTGTAGGTAGAGGCAAACTATCATCAATTAGCATAATAATTAAAATATGAAACTATCTGATATACTAGAACAGCAATATGGCAGTAAAAAGGCTGGAGAAAATCTATTTCTAATTAGATGGCAATTATTTTTCAAGAAGTGAATATTCATAAAACAACCAAGATAAAAGAAGATGATTCATAGTATCATAGTATCATGGTGCTTAGGGTCAGAAGGGACCTAAACAGATCATCAGGTCCAACCCCCTGCCCTGGGCAGGAATGGGAGGTGGAGTCATATCAGCTGAGCCAAATATCTGTCCAGCCTCCTCTTGAAGACCCCCAAGGTAGGAGAGAGTACCGCCTCATTTGGGAGCCCATTCCAGAGCCTGGCAGCCCTAACTGTAAAGTAATGTCTCCTGATGTCCATTATGAACCTTCTGTCTACCAATTTCTGGCCATTATTCCTAGTATCCCTGGGTGGTGCCTTGGGGAACAGAGCCTCCCCCAATTCCCACTAGTCCCCTTTGGTGAGTTTGTAAATGGCCACCAGATCCCCTCTCAGCCTTCTCTTGTGGAGGCTGAATAGGTTTAGGCCTTTTAGCCTCTCTTCATAGGGCCTGCCTCACTGTCCCTTGACCATGTGAGTGGCCCTCCTCTGGACCTTTTCAAGGTTAGCCACATCCCTCTTGAAGTGCGGCACCCAGAACTGGATGCAGTACTTCAACTGTGGCCTGACCAATGCTTTTCAGAGGGGAAAGATCACGTCCCTGGGCCTGCTTGTGATGCATCTGTAGATGCACGACAAGGTGCAGTTAGCCTTACTGACTGCTTCCTTGCATTGACGGCTCATGTTCATCCTGGAGTCAACAATGACTCCAAGATCCCTTTCTGCCACCATGTTGACAAGAAGGCTGTTCCCCAGCCTATAGGCGTGTTGCTGATTCCTTCTCCCTAGATGCAGCACCTTGCACTTGTCTGTGTTGAATTCCATCCTATTCTTATCTGACCACCTCTGTAATTTGTCTAGATCTAGCTAGATTCTGTCCCTGCCCTCCAGCGTGCCCACCTCACCCCACAACTTGGTGTCATCAGTGAATTTCGACAGCGTGCATTCCACACCACATCCAGATTGCTGAGAAAGATGTTGAACAGTACAGATCCCAGGACCGATCCCTGGGGGACTCCACTGCCCACATCCTTCTAGGTCAAAAATGACCCATCCACCACCACTGTCTGGGTGTGGCCATATAGCCAATTTGCCACCCATCTGACTGTGTAGGCATCAGTGCTGCAGTCACCTAGATTTTTAAGAGAATGTACTGGGAAACCATGTCAAAGGCCTTCTTAAAGTCCAAGAAGACGACATCCACCCTGACACCCTCATCCAGGGACTTTGTGACCTGATCGTAAAAAGAAACCAGGTTAGTCAGGCAGGACCTGCCCTCAATGATTCATTATGACATTTAGTTTTTATATTCTTTCACAAATAATAATGTATCTGATTCTGAATTTAGGCTCAATGTCAACAGTTAAATATTAATGTTGGGATTGGGTAGCCCCAGCTCACAGGGACATTGCCCCTGCTCTGGGAGGAAAACCCCAGATGACAAGGATCTCTCCTGGACTGGCGGAGGGAAGGTTTAAGTTGGACATTAGGAGGCGCTACTTCACGGTCAGGGCGGCTAGAGTCTGGAACCAGCTTCCAAGTGAGGTGGTGTAGGCTCCCACCCTGGGGGTTTTTAAGAGGAGGTTGGATGACCACCTTACTGGGGTCATTTGACCCCAGTGCTCTTCCTGCCATGGCAGGGGGTCGGACTGGATGATCTGCTCAGGTCCCTTCCGACCCTAGAAACTATGAAACGATGAAACTATGGTCTGTGCTCCTGCAAGCTGTCTGGCCAGGTCACACCCCTGGGGGTGGGAAAGCAAGCTGGCTTAATGCCAGTAGATTTCAGGGGTAGAAAGTGTGTCCACACAGAACAGGAGGGTTGTAGGAGAGGACACTGCATCGTGGGCTGCTAGAGGACTGAAACTTAGGTGGCTTATCTCTGGAGAGTAGCACACATTTGTGGAACACGGGCTGGGTAACATGGATCAGAGATAAACCTGCCCTTTAGTGGTGTAACTTTAAGATGGGTAAAAGGTATTTAAAACTAGTTTACATGTCTAAATGTATGGACAATCAAGGGATTAAGAGCTTCCTGAGCTGCCTAAAATTAATGTGTTAATGAACTCCCATCTCTATTCATCAGCTGTTGGGTGGCCTGACAGGACTTAGTGTTCACAGTTACTACTGCTGCTCTGGAAGAGCTTTAAAGGTTGAGATTGGCTTCCCCTTTCATGTCCCATCTCCCTTTGTCTCAGGTTGAATGATGTGAGGGGTGAACATATTGTTATCTCTTCATCATAAAAGTTGGGAACGATGCTCCCTTTCTTTATGTTTTCAATTTTTTTATGACTGAGAAGATTGGAAGAAGATGTAAACTTACACAATTTTAGACTCACTTCTTAAGATGATCCCCTCTGTCATAGGTGGCAGAAGGCTGGGGCTAAAGGGGCTTATTTCCCCAAAAAACTTTTTGCGGTGGCCAGCAACAGCAGCAGCACCATGGTGCCACCATCCCAGTGCCCGGCACTGCTCAGCATGCAGTCACTTCTCTGCTGCCATGTACAGCACCCGTGTACACGGGCTGTACAGTGGCCCTGAGGGAGGAAGGGGTGGGGGTCAGGCAGGGCTCAGCCCCCCTCAAATAATATTTTCCCCCACTGCTTATGCCCTCTGTCACTGCATAACTTTGATGGCAGAAGTTGAAGCTGAGCTAGGCTATTGCAAAACTCTCATGGGGCCTGTTGCATCAAGTTGTTGAGCAAACAAGAAGTGGAAAACTGGTTGTGAATTATCAGGAGGCAGGGCAGATATATACCTTTATAGGCTTCGTTCACACCTTTATGTGAATGCAACCTAACCTGTTACATTGGTGCATTGGCCAGGAAGATTCCAAAGGCTGTATATGCCAGAAAATGATGGTCTATACAAAAGAAAAGGAGAACTCATGGGCTCAAAGAGAATTTGGAGGACTGGTTATGAGTGCTAGCCCAATGGCCAGTAGCAGAGCAGCAGATGTGAAAGCTCCTAGCCAGTCTAGCACAGGGGTTGCAACATCAAGTACAAGCCTAAGAGACTCACTGGGTGTAGCAACAGCTGCTGTTAGAGAAGTTGGTTAGTTTCACTCAGCAGAATCAGGCAGACCAGGAAGGAGGTGATGAGATGCCACACCTGCAGGATGTGAGACAGAAACTACGAGGGGAAGCCATGAGGGGGATGGGATGGCGGCACAGAGATCTAATGCCTAGCAAGAAGGGGTACAATGGGGTGGAATGCAGCTATTATGGCAAGGCCGTACAGTTAGAAGGGCAGGGACTGGGAAGAGACCAAAATTTGCTGATGATAAATATGCTAGTGGAAAGACAAAGGGTGCGGGCTATGGTGGACTCAGTCTCAGCCCAGACAGTAATACAGAAAGACTTGGTACTGGGGACGGGATGGAACAGGACCAGATAGTCCCTAAATGCCTGCATGGGGACACTTGACCATATGCCAAAATGTAGATAATTCTGTGGTATGACACCCACAAGGTGTTAGCTTGCGAAGCCACCCACAGTATTGCCAACCCCATTGTGTCAAAATCATGAGACAAACTCTTAAAAATCAAGAGATTTGGAATGTAAATCATGAGATGCTATTTTTTACGTGTGTGCACATAGTTCTCAGGACAAGCAGGGCACAGAGCCCCAGCCCATATTGGGCAGCCCGCCTCTGCCCCATGCACAAATCTGGGGGGCATATGCCCCACATGTATCCCCTGGCCCCGGGGCCCCATTTACCCCAACCCATGCCCCACTCTCTCCTTCCCTCACTATGGGGGTCTCAGTCTGCCCCCACCCCCCTTCCCCTCTACAGACTTACTGGAGTGGCGCTCTTTATATGCGCCAGAAGAAAAAATCCTGAGATTTGATCTCTCTTTCAGGAGATCATGAGTCAGAGTTATTTTGACTTGGAAATCAGGAGTCTCATGATTTTTTCATGAGAGTTGACATTATTGCAATTACCTTATCCAGTGATCCTAGGCGGGGACTGGCCCAAGTTTCCAGCAGTGTTAAACTGTCACAGAGAGGGTCACATGTAGAACTGTCACAAAGGAGGGTCAGGCCCATAGCCTGTAAGGGATGAGAGGCAGAGTCAGGGACTTGTAGCCATGGGCCAGGGCCCAAGAAGAGAGGTCAAGGGCTGATGAGGCTCACAGCCAGGGACCAACAGGGCCAGGGACCTACAGCCCAGAGAAGTGTGGAGTCAGGGCCAAGGGCCCAGTGCCTTGGGACAGGCAGGACCAGGGTCTTGGTCCACACCTGGGATTAGCCAAGAAGGGCAAAGGGCCTGGGTGTGGGCAGAGAGAGATAGTGCTAGAGCAGAAGGGAACCACACTCCTCTCACTGAGGGTTTAGTTGGAGAGGATCATGAACCTCCACTAGTAGCAGCCCTGGAGCTGAGGATGGATATCAGTACCCTCTTGGAAGACGGACATTTTCAATTGGAGCAGAGCCAGGAGGATGGGTTCCAGCTTGTGTTCTGGGAACATTAGGCCCAATGCAATGGGGAGGTACTGAGACCAGAGCTGATGAAGACAACTCTGAGGTTTGAGGTGAGGAATGATCTCCTCTACAGAACTGAGTGGGGAAACCTGAAAGGGAGGAAGTGACACAACAATTGGTGCCCCAACAGCACTGTCAGGCCCTATTAAAAGTTCCCATGAACTTCCTATAGGAGGCCAGCTGAGGAGAGATGAAACAGAAGCCCAAGTTTGGGAAAGGTTCTTTTGCCTGGGGTTACTCCAGGAGGTAACAGATTACTGTGATCCTGCCCCATGTGTCAGACAGTGGCACCCAACCACCCATCCAGGGCCCTCTCCCCTTGGTAGAAACCCCTTTTGAATGGGGAGCTGTGGGCACTGTGGGGCCATGACCAAAGTGTAGCACAGCACACCAGTACAGGCAGTCCTTGCACTTACAGCAGGTTACGTTCCTGGAAAAGGCGCTGTAAGCTGAAATAATGTAAATTGAATCTGATTTTCCCATAGAAACAATGTTATAATAGAGGGTTATGTTCCTGACCAAGGGCCTGATGCCCAACTTTTTATAGAAATGACCATAAACACCATATTTAAATCAAATATTTAATCAAATATAAAAGATATACACTGTACAGTACAAAGCTTTCTAAAGTGTGCTGTATATAAATTGATTAAACGGGGCAATACAGTAACTAATCACATAATATTTTATTTAATCAAAAGGTGAAGTCACACCTTCCTCAGGGTCATGGAATTCAGAAGGGCTTCTTTGGGGAGATTTTTGGGGAGACTTAGGGCCACTTTATGGCTTTCTGAGAAACTGATCCAGGGATGTTTGTTTTTCTGCCCTCTTTTTCTCATTGTAAATTTCCCTGTAGTGCCGTAAGTGCAAGGATCCAGCGCCATAAGTAATAACATGGGTGTAAATGGTGAAGCGCTGTAAGCTGAAACGCCATAAGTTGAGGACTGCCTGTATATTCTACTTATGGGACGACTACTGAAGAGTAGCACAGGACACCAACATATTCTACTTATAATAGACTTTATGTGACCTGGTACCCCAAGGTGGTACCCATGCGGACTGTGTCCACCCTGAAAGTAGCAGACAAGCTACTTAAAATCTCCTTTCAAGTAGGACTTTTCAAAGAATTATTGACTGATCAGGGGATGAACTTTGTCTTGCATTTTTGAGGGGGTGAGTGAGACTCTAGGGATTAAGCACCTAAAGACCTCAGTATACCATCCACAAACCAGTGGCTTAGTAGAGCGTTTAAATCCAACAGTAATGCACATGTTGAAAAAAATTGTAGTGGAGCACCCACAAAAGTGGGATCAGATGTTTCCACCTCTGCAGTTTGCCATGACAGAAGTTCCCCAAGCCTCAACAGGGTTTTCCTCCTTTGAGCCCTTATATGGACATCAGTCATGGGGGATCCTGGATTTGATTGGAGAAGGATGGGAAGACCAGCAAAGTAAAGACAGAAATCTGGCACAATATGTGATCCAGCTCCTCTTTTTAGGCTGCTTGCAGTCATTCCCTTAGCTGGATCATAGTTTCGTAGTTTCTAGGGTCAGAAGGGACCTGAG